AGAAGTTGTTTGACCTTGTTTTCGCAACTCGATCATATTGGTAGGAAGACTTAGAGGAACGCACCTTGTCATTAGTCTATTGTATGCTTACTCATTTCCAAAGTCGGACCGTGGACTTGGTACATTTCCAGATGTTTCGCCGGCAGCATAGTCGGCATCGTCAGTGAGTTTTGCCATTCGTAACAACATAAAACTCGTCAAAAGAGATAAGTAAGTCTATCCTTTGACCAAACGTGTGCTAAACAGTTGTGGTATATCCCCTTCTTCCCTGGGCTATTCACATTTCCTATATCCTCTTATCACGCCTTCACTGTCACAATTTTTACCATGCCTATTTAGATTTAGAGTTATGTGCTTCTTTGAGCGGCATTCATGAAACCCCTTCACACTCCACGTTGGCTTTTTCTCCTTTTTTACTCTTGTGCTGGGAATGTTGATCAGAGTCTGCTATATTGTTACGCAGTCCTCCTTCCCTAGATCTTATCACACTCTCTCTATTGCCCCTTAAGATCCGTCTGCTTTCTCCCTGGTTCACCTATTTCACTCGACTTCTGCCACCCTATATGTGCCACTTGAGACGTTATTTACTCTCTTCGTCTGGGTGACTAATTTGAGGCTAAAACCTGTGAGTAGGTTTTATCGTCAAGCCTTTGCTACATGGACCACGTCTCTTATAAAACCTACTGTAACCCAACTAGCTCCAATCGCCTCTGCGTCTATCCTGTTTCTATCCTTCATACCAAGTCTATGACATGCTATGGCCTAGTCTCTTGTGTGCCAACCTACAAACTTTTTGGTTCAAAATTGAACCCTATCAAAACAAGCAGTAACACAACATGTGTGGGTTGGCACACAAGATACTAGGGCATTGTAAGTCATAGACTTGGTATTAGGGATAGAAACAGGATAGACGCGGCGGTGATCGGAGCTAGTTGGATGCGCTTCGAGTGGCACAGATAGTTTGGCAGGGGTCGAGTGAAATAGGTGAACCAGAGAGAGTTCAGACGGATCTCACGGGGCAAGAGAGAGACTGTGATAAAACATAGGGAAGGAGGACTGCGTAACAATGTGACAGACTCTGATCATCATTCCCAGTACAAGGATGAAGGAGGTGAGAACGCCTGCGTGGAGTGTGAAGGGGTTTCATGAATGCCGCTCAAAGGAGCACACCACACTACATCTAAATAGGCACAGTAAAAAATTGTGACAGTGAAGGTGTGATAGGAGGATATAGGAAATTTGAATAGCCCTGCGCAGAAAGGAGATACCACAACTGTTTAGCACACGTTTGGTCAAAGAATAGGCTTACTTGTCTCTGACGAGTTTTATGGTGCTAAGACTGGCGAGACTCACGGGCGATGCCGGCGAAACGTCTGAGAATGTACTACGCCCACTGTCCGACTTTGGAAATGATTATGCATACAATGGGCTCTGGACTAGGTGCGTTCCTCTAAGTCTTCCCACCAATATGACCAAGTTGAGAAAAGAAGTTCAAACAACTTTTATTCCTTTTTATACCCGGCCGCAAAACTATTCTTATGATTCTTCAACCTCTTATGCCCTATTTTTATATACCTCGGCAGCCGGGAATCTTTCAACTGACTTATCAATTAACCGATTTTTTTTCTACTGTCTGCAGCCAGTACTTCTGCTCTCGGGTTGAACGTTACTTCGCCCACATCATTCTCGTTGGCTTCTTCAGACATGAATATAACCAGATCAGGCTTTACTGGGCAAGCCAATACCCCTTACGCCCAAACCCCCTGGCCAGTCCAGTTGCCCAGTTCACAGAATAATAGCGTTGCTCCTGCCATCACAACAGCATTTTCCTCTGGCACGGCTGCCGAGCAGCCTACAACAGCCTCATCGGGTTCTCTTTTAGCCTCTCGGCCCCTCTTCTCCTTGCCTGGATCGAGTGCTATATCACCAATCGATGTAGCGGCATCTGCTGCTACAACTAATACAAATTTAATGCCAAGGCAATTAGCTGCATCATCTAACGTGAAGGCTACATCACAATCGCCCCCACAGGCTACGACTGCAATAGCAAAGATCTCATCACCCTCCAAACCGAGCATTTCTAATTCATCATCAATTGCATTTTCTTGCAATAGTACCAGCAGTGAAACTGTAACTACCACTACTACAGA